TGAAATGGTAGGGTTATCAATGGATGAAGACTATTGTAGCCTAAGTACTTGCACTTCCTAATAAGTTGGCATAACAGTCAAGAATGTCAAATGGTTCCAACATCTATGGATTCTATACTTGCCAGAAGAAACCTTGTTGGTGCACTTGGTTTTGAGGCACTGCAACTTCCCAAAAGCATTCCTGCGTCGTCGATATTGTTAAGAAAATGCCAACATCCGATAAACATATACGAAGCAGATAATGGGCAAAATCAAAATAGTTGTCATTAATATCACATACTATCCTTTTGAGTTACATTAAAGATTGAAATACCATGGGACATAGAAGATGCACATGAAGCTATTAATGCACAGATTTGACATTGTAGGAATAAATCACATGTATCTCAAGAAAGTGGCTTACTTTTCCATTAAACTGTCTGAATCAATGAAAGTTCCAACCAAGTTCCTGAACAGAAAGGCAAGTCTTTTGTCAATTGTCATTGAAAAAAATTCAAATTTAGTAATTGCATCACTGTTAGATCTATAAAGGAAAAAAGAAAAGAAAAGAAAGAAAAGGTAAACTAACATTGATAACCCTGATTTGGCAGAATTTAAGGGTAAACTTCCAAAAAGGGGGTTGAAAGAGACATCTCTGAAATAAAGTAATGGAAACATATTTTAGAATAGGTAAAAATGAAGCTCATTTTCATATGTTCCAGTGCAGAAAGCCAGCAACCAGTGCAAAAGTTAAAACTGAAAGCATTATGTTTCACTTACAATGCACTGAGCTTTGGAGTTACGATCCCTGCTGGTAGCTCTCCAGTCAACTTGTTATTTCCAAGATACCTGTGCAACATATGACCAGATGGATTGAAAGAAAATGAATGAAAGGAAGCCACTGCAGTGATTTTCAGGTCCTATTGGGTTAGATGTCCAGTTACTTGATAATGGATAATTGAACTTCAATTTTGGTATGATGTTAGAAATGAAAAATCATGAGCCGCCGTTAGATTACCTACAAATATTTCTGTTTGCTGATCAGAAAAAAAAAGAAAAAAAAGAAAAAAGGATTACTTACAAATATTGTAACAAAGCAAAATCCTCGAACGAGCTTGGTATTTGACCTGTCAACTTGTTGAAACTCAAGTCCCTGTGGTCATAATTTTATACCCCCAAAAAAAAGGGTGAAGTTAAGCAGCTTTTAGATAAACATATATATGATAGCACCGATATAGCTTAGAAATCAAAATAAGAACTGAAAATTTTTAATAAGATTTCCCAGGATACAGGTACAGGTGAAAAAAACTCATTATTTATAAACAATAAAATGAGGTGACCTACATATATAGCAACTTAGTCAATTTGCTAAGCCCATCTGGAATCTGACCTGAGAGTCGACAATTTCGTAAAGATCTGTTAATACAATTGGATCAGCTATGACTGTAACTACAGTTATAGCTATAAAGAAGGATGATATGTGATATAAAAGTCTTACAGTATGGATAAATTTGTTTGGTTTTCCAAGAAATCAAGAGAGGAATCTTCGCCGCTCAAATCACCAATCCTCCTGTCACAAACATATCAAAGTGGGAAGAACTGAAGACATAAAATTAATGGATCAAAAAATTCTAGGTCATCTCTAATTTTAGGGTCATACTATCTTAATCTCCTAAGTAAAAGGCCTTACAGATCCTGCAAATTAGTCAGAGCAGCAAAACTGCTTGGAATTGGACCTTCAAGCAATGTCCCTTCAAGTCGCCTGCCAACGAAAAAGCACTTACTAGTGAACATACAAAACAGAAATAGTGCAACTTCAAAAGATAGCATTACAGTGAAGAACAAGTCATGCATACAGGTCTGTCAATCCTGTAAAATTCCCAAGGTATTCTGGAAGCTTTCCAGTAAAGCTGTTATCAGATGCCCAGCTGAAATGGATCAAAAAAAATAAGCATGCAATTTGTTCATTTAAAGTTCCTAATATCAAAGAGTTATGTCTTGGACAGACTAATCAACAATCTAAAGCAGAGTACAGAGTCTGGAGGGACTTCAAATTTGCAAATTTTTGAGGGATTGGTCCACTCACTCCACTGCTATCAATATACCTAAAACAAAAGCAAGGTGGGTAATCAGAAACCAAAAAGTGATATATTAGAAACCAAAAATATGAAGTTTACGTGACGCTACTTACAGCTGCTGCAAGGAGATCAAATTTCCCAAGTTGGTGGGTAAGGGTCCAGAGAAATTGTTTGAGCTAAAGCTTCTGTAACATAGAAATAGGAGAAACTCAAAACATTAATTAGGCACCAAAAGAAAAGGAAAAGTAAATATATAAATGATAATGGTAACTGGAGATATAAACTTAACAGAGAAAGCAATTTGGTTAGACTGCCAAGCTCTGAAGGCACAGCGCCTGTGAGATTGTTTATGCCAAGGCTACTGCTCAATTACCAAAACATTGAAACATCTGTTAATGCACCACTAGAGGCTTCTTGATATGCATTAATTCCTAGACTTCCACAATAGTAGGATATACAAAAACCTTACAGGTATTGCATATTTGATAGCTGTCCAATTTCAGCTGGTATGGACCCATTTAACACATTCTGACCCAGATTCCTGCATTTGCAGATTTTATCATCAAAATCAGCTAAAAACATAACCATAAAGGAACGCAATTTGTGTCAGAATTTTGTCTCATACAAGTCAGTTAGCTCCTTTAGCACAAACAGTTCCATGGGTATCTCACCCCTAATATCCAAAGCATAAACCTTCCTGCAAAAATCAACAGAGTGTTAGATGTTTACAATGGCATGGAAATGGTAGCTGTCATGCTAAGATAACTTACAGGTGGGTAATATGGCAGGTATTAGTGCCACTGCCACAGTCACATGCAACACGGGGATTTGCATCTTGAGCAGCCCAAGGAACATTTTGGGTGCAGGGGTCAATGGTTAAATTGATCTTGCTCCCCAAGTTCCATTGATCTATCAGCTTCCTAAGAGCAGCCACTGAACAAGAAAACAATTAAACAAGAGTATTAATTGAAATCTAACAAAACCCTCTATATATACAGAAACACAGAATCACAAACCTTCATTGGGATCAGTAGTGGGTTGTGCAGAAACAAGCTGAAGCAACCATAGAACTAACAGCACGAATCTAAGGACCTCCATAACTGTGTAACAGAAGAAAACTGGCAGCCTAAAAATTTATAAACGAGAAAACCCAAATTCGCAGAGAGAGCTTCAGATTGTGGTTCAGTGAAAGATTCTTACCTCGGTAAGAAACAACAAAGAAGGATTTGGAAGTGTTCATGGCCGGCTTTGTTGTCGTAAAGTCGTGAGAAGTCTTTTGTTGACTCTGATGTTAACGATTGATCCCATGAAAGAGATGACTGCAACAGACTAATGCAAAATGACTTGACTTTTGAGACTCGACGACTTCATTGCGCGCCAGAAGACAACGACCATGATATTTTCCTTGACGCTGGACGTGAACAGGCATTGGTTAAGGAAACAAGTTCTAGGACTTAAGTGCATATATACACATATTTAATCCTTTGAAATAATAAGTAGAATAAATTAAAGGCATCATCGTTATGCACTCATAAAAATATTTTATTTAGTAAAGAAAAATATTATACAGTCTAAATTATATTAAATTATAATATTTATCATTAAATAAAAAATAAGCCCCTTAATATTGAAAACCTACCCTCATGACCCTTGTTTTATAATTCAATGCAATTTAGACCATAAAACAAAAAAAACTCATTTACTAATGTAAGTCCTACAAATATTTCAATATCCAACATTTACTACAAGCATTTCTGCAATTTCAGAAAATCCAAATGCAGAAAATAGCATATTATATATGTCAAGTAGTTTTGGGCCAAAAGAAGAATACAATTGAAGATAGGAGATTAGATTACTGAGGTAAAGAATGCTTTCAGCCTTCGGATGAATTGGATATATAGCTGTTTAACAAAAATTTAACCTTTACATCTAATTTACTGGCGGCTAATGACACTTTCCCAACAAGAAAAGGGAAATTGAAGCCATTTCTGGAGCACCTAGTATACAAGCATACAAAAAAATGGCAAAAAATGGCAGTTGATTGTTATCCGCAAAAGCTTATCAATGTTGCTGGTGCTTTAGTCCTTGGTCATCTTCCAACAGTGTTGCTCTCCATCCTCCAGAATGTTGGGGCTCAAGAACGTAGACTCTACCATTGCTAAGCCCCACAGCTATTTGATTCGGATGAGTTGGATGAGCAGCAATAACGAGAGGATATACCTGCACACTGTGAAAGATTTCTTTGGATGAATGCAGAAAGAATTGGAGGAACTAAAATTACTCTGTAAGTTTTGGGTCTTTACCAGGCAGTAGTTTGTGCTGAGATAGATAGATTAATCCTATATTTAACTTGAAGTGTTGTGGAGACAAGAACCTTTATGCATCCAGCTCTGCAGCAAACATATATTGACTCACCATTGCAAGAATATGTAGCGGATGTGATCGGAGCATCTGAATCTCGAATAATCCACTGCAATATGATGAAATTACTTTTGTAAAGGTTTCATGATGAAAAATACAAAATCCCAACCATTTCTGTTCATTGGACCTGTATTTGGTGATCGAGCAAGGGCGCTTCATATATGTCTATCTGCCTTTCATTGACAACAAGCAGGTGAATCTGATCTTGATGAAACTGGATGTATTTCACCACAGGGGGGTCTGGCAACTGTCCAGTGCAAAGACTCCGCAAAAATTTACTTGATTGCTTATGCCACCCATTTGCATTCCAAACACACAGCTGAAAAGCAAGTAAGCAAACCATGCCAAGTAGTAGGCCGGGAAAAAAAAAAATCCCAAGTAGTTAGCCTTAACCATGGTAACAGCTAAAACTGATAAACAAAGAGAATCATCACTAAAATTTAGGACTGATGAGGGTGATTCTAGAATCTATAATGAGCCTACTAGACATAAATTGATATCATAACCCAAACATAACCATTAAATTTAATGACTGAGTATCTCAAACAAGCCTTAATGAAATGGTCTCTGTTGAAGGAAAATACTAACACCTACATCAGGCTAACTTTGATAAGATAATCATAAATGCATACAGCTTACCAGGGCATCAGCTCCAGATGATACAAGAACATTTAATTCCTGAGAAAAGGCTAAGCATGTTATTTGCCTTTGATGACCCTCAAGCTTCGCTATATTCTGTGGAACCAAGCAATACAGCAGTAACCACATCAACATGATTATTGTCAACATGCAGAAAAGTTTCAACTTCAGCAAGATTTAATAACAACCATTTTGGTGACGAAACAGTGAATCAGGATTGAAGAGTCATGAAAGCCAAAGGCCAAGGTACTTTGATTAAGGAAAATAAAATATGTACTGGATGTGGTTTCTGCAAATGTTGTTAATTTCTGCATTACAATACAAAGCCAAATTAGATAGCAACCAGTGCCACCATAAAGACAATAAAATGTCAAATGCATGCATAGAGGCAACATGATATCTACCTCAAATGTATCCAAATTGAATACGGAGATCTTTCCACCAGATGCTGATAAAAGGTAAGGGCCATTAAGTGCAAGGCATGGGTTACAAGGAAGTTTGCCAATCTCGTTGTTCATTGTCAATCCATTGGAAAGTTGATATACCCATGACTGTGCATTTTCATTTGCCTGCAAAGAGAGAAAGGACATGGAGCACACTCAATGACATAAAGTAATTATTGCCAATTGAAGCTGGTAAAATAGCATAACAGACCTTCCCAGAGGAATGCTGATAATTTGGCCACATCCGTAGTTTGTGTGTAGCATCATCAGTTAATGCCACGATGGAATCCCCAGAATATGAATAGATCAACCTAGCAACCTAGCACAATCCATACTATTTGGTCAGGGTTCAGCAAAAAACAGAACTTAATGCCAAAAGGGGAAGAAAAAATGAATATGGTGGGATGAGAATGCCACACACACAAACCACCATGACAACCTTAGATCTAATGTAACATAAAATTGCCACCATTCCAGGATGTAACAACATATTTTGTCAAAAACAGATGAGTTTCATTTTTGCTAGAACTGTTATAGGAAAAAATTATGAATTGAATGCCAAAGTTTGAAACACCAAGCAGAAATATAAATAAATTACGTTTTTATACTCATAAATTTTAAACATCCAGGAAGAACAGATGGTAATGAAGTAAAATAACTACAATCACTAAAATTTCAAAAGGACTGCATCAAACCCTATACCCTTTCTGCCAATGAATCATCAGGGAGCACCAGTGTATAGCATTCAGATGGTTCATTTATCTCAGTTAACTCACAAATAGTAGATTTATCCGTTGCAGAGCAGGTCAGTTCTCGAGACTGAAAGAGAGATGGGGAGATAGAATAAGACATACAAGTACTTTTTTAATATCACATCCGGAATAAAAAGCCACCTGATTTATTTTAACAAGCTTTTAATTATGACTAAAAATAATTTTTTTGGTCAAATCCATGAACTGTGGAGAGACTAAAAATAAATTGAAATGTTAAAAAAAAAAAAAACCATATGTGGTAATAGACCACAGCATTGATGTAATTCTTAGATCATCCATTACCATTCACTTACCTCATAGCCGCTTTGATCCAATGGGACTACTTGATCGTGGTATTCACTAATAATTGGGGACTCAACGTGGAAAAGGTTTGACACTTTGGGAATACTTTCAAGTGAAATGGTCTCATTTCTTGGCCTCACATGGGCATAACGTGGAACCCACCACTCCATACTACAGAACTTAAGGAGCAGTTTTCGTAAGTAAATACATCACCTGCTCACATAATAGCGAATGATGAAATCTTTTTCGCTTACCTCTGCTTGATAATTGTTAAGAGTCTTGATTTATCCATATTGGGAAACTTGAGTTTATCTCGACAAGTAGCATTTTTCTCCACTATGTTTTCAAGATCTTGGAGAAAGTTGGTCCTGCTAACATGGCATTAGAACTCTTAAAAAAGAAGCTTAATCTTTGCAACAGTAAAGTTTGCTTAGAATCTTAGCAAATCTTATATTTGTATCTTTGAGATGGCCTTCAAATCCACATAAAGAAGGTTTGCGCATTCAAAATGGCCATCCAAGTACACAGCTCAACTCTTAATGATTGCATAAGTATGAAAAAACAGAAGAATTGATCTACTTTTATGTACTGCATTTGTAGTTTATAAGACTCATCTCAGACACCCAACTAATGCTTCTAACATTATTTGGCAGTCTCAAATTAACAATTAGTGAAAAGAACTTTCAGAAACAAATGAACTTAAAAGAAAAGAAAAAAGAAACAGATAGGTGAAAGAAAGAAACTTGGTCATGAAAATCAAAGACCAACCTGTCTAAAACTTCTAAATCTTTCTGTTTTTGCATCTCAAGGAAAATATTCATCAAGCATTCATCATTGTCCATGTTTGTGAATGCTGAGAGGTATTTATAAGCCTTATCCCATTCACCATTAATCACATGCTGCTTAAAATAATCCAGATTGAAGATCTTTGATTCTTGCTCCAATCTTCAATAAAGAAGAAATATCAACCACACATTACTTGTAAAAGGAACTAAATTTTTTAAAAGAATTGATTCAGAATACGTACAAGTGAGCTGTCTCATTGAACTTTTCTTCCTCAAGAAACTGAAGTATCAAGTAAATAAGTTCCTCCTGCAGGTAAGTTATTTGCATATCAAATTCAAAAAGCTCCAAAGATGATCCAAGGTTTGATACTTCAGCCCAAACATGCAAAAGAAAAAAAAGGGGAGAGGGAGAGAGAAAAACAACTAATACCTTTACACTTCTCGTTTTACTTTCTGGATTGCGGCATATAAGTTTGATTAGTGACAAAAGTCCAGATTTTTCCAGTCTGGGAAAAACAAGTTTATGTTGCAACTTAGGATTTAGCTTCAGCAATACTTTCAGATCGTTGTGAAGTTCAACCCTTGTTGATGGAGTGTCTATACGTACAGATAGTTGCACATTCACCCTGCATACATAACCTCTACTAGAATATGAGAAAGTACTTAAGCAGAGTATCAATTACAAACAATCTCCAAGAAATTGTAAATCATGCCTTATACTATCTGATGAAGAAAGCTTAGCTAAATCATTCTCTTGAGAAACTGAAAACATGTTCAAATCCTTCCAGAGAATATTTACAGCCTCAGGGTCATCATTCCTGCAATCATACAGCCACAACAAGATAAAGAAAATAAAGCAAACAGAATACCTCTGTTTCCAAGATAAGTAAGGAAGGAAAATATTGAAGTCTCTTGATTCCTGTCTTTCCTTTTACTCCTGAGAAACAAGAAAACCATTTGAGGCTCTTCAAATACTGGGTAGATAGAAAGAATACACATATTTGATTATCCTTTTTCCTTTAGTTATTTTCAAGTGATTTCTTTATATCTTGTTTAACCTTTTAATTCTTAGCAACCAAGAAAGGATTAGACCATTTCTCCACAAGGTTGATAAGAAATAAAAGTTTCAATTCCATTTATCACGAAACAGATACCTTTCCAGGACCTCAAAGTATTTTTGCTTTCGCAACTCAAAGAACAATTTCCTGGAATATAAATTATCATCCAGCTCAGTAAACGCTGCAAGATACTTCTCTGCCTGGTCCCATTTGCCATTGATAATGCATTCCCCAAAATAGTCCACATTGAAGAAAATTTTCGACTCTTGCTCCAATCTTCAAAAACCCACATGACAAAATCAAGAAAATGATATCAAGATGCAATCATAGATTTGTAGCCCTCATAAAAGCTAAAGTTGCAACATCTCATCTCTAAAGATCTAACATTTAGAATTTTTGACTTATTCCCAGCAGCATTACTCTAAATTGCAAATACCCCCTCCATTCAAAATAATTACCCAAGAATCATATACCCAATATAGCTAGATAGAGGGCACACCTTATCTTTTTAGGAAAACCACTTCCCCTTTCAAAGGAGGAAGTCGTATTCCAGAAAAGGAATAAGAGTATCCTCTATCTTACTCCTCATTCATACATTAATGAGGTCTATATCTTTCCTATAATTTCTCGGAGATCATTTTCCCCTCAAATCCCTGGAACCAACCACTGCGTCCTCCTAGTAAAACGGCATTATCGAGTTACCACTACACACATGCACAGTGGATGCTTGCAGGACATGAAAACAATGCAACAAAGCACTCAATTAGGAGCTACCAGAGCCTAGAACAAGAACTGATCTTAGCACATCTATACCACATCTATACCGACCTAGAAAAGACAAATTTCCATCTCATTTACCATGCGATTCCGAAAAGTAAGAAGGAATTTCAAAAAATGGGAGGAAACAAAAACGAGAAACAAGAAAACATCACCGCCGTACGAATGTAGAGTTTCTCTGTAATTCTCTTCGTCGAGAAACTGGAGGAGGAGCATAATGAGATTCTGGTACGTTATCTCGTCGACTTTCATCTTCGAATCGGGAAATGTTGGTTTCCGGGGATTTGGATTTGGAGTTCGAAATCGGAATCGGTATCTTGGATGGGACAAAATCGATTCATCAAAGCAACTGCAGTCCTGTTTCTGTATTCCTCGGAGTCTTCTCCGGTTACCACTTGGACATAGGTTTACTGTAGTGATAAGTCAAGTCAATGTCAAAGTGCTTATCAACCCCTGAACTCTTCAATTGTGGAAAATTTACCCTCAAGCTTTTATGTTTGGAAAATTGCCTCTTAAGCTGCTCAATCTATCCCCCTTTGTCCTTTCCCCCTTTCTTCTTCCTGATCCACTTTGTTTCCTGGTAGGATAACTATGTGGATATCTTTTTCTTCCAATTTACAAATAAACATTAAGATGTTGGATTGTTTTCCTTTGGTTGAATTCCTTATTTACACCTAATACATTTTTTTCTTTTTGCGATCAACATTCTGAATTAATTTTCATTCCAATCAATATGTTTTATAATTTAAAACCTATAAAAAATC